GAACCTGTGGACGCGGCAGGTTAACAAACTGGCCCAGCCCGCCAGGGGGCTTACCCTGGTGGGCCGCAGGCCGAAGGTTGCCGATCCCTGGTTTAGATATTAGAATCCGAATACTCGGTTACATCACACATGAAAAGTTGTACAGAGATTTGATTGTGGAAAGCAAAATATAACAATGAGTGGAGATTGTCCCTCAGTAATTGAGAATTAGGTAGGTTGTCCATTTAGAAAATACAATCCATGAGGAAAGTATTTGTTATTTTCCTGTACCTTATTCTGAGCAGTTCCAAAATCTATCTGCTAGTAAATAGGAATAAAATAGAAACATGTAATCTAGACCCCAAAGTTAAAAATTAAAAAACTACATGTTGTAGAAGCCATTCAAAAGCCTTAATAATAATTCTGGGCTGGCTTTCCCCACCAAAACTTTTCTTTTTGAACTGCAACTAAATGGTTAAAAGTGACCATTAGAAAATGTGCACTTTCACTGTCGCTTTCAAATTGATATTGAAGCTCGTTGAGATTCACAGCTAAGAGTTTAATGTGTTGTACTTTGTTCTAGTTTGTTATGCTTAGCATTTATGTTGTGATTAAACTCAAAATTAGCGTCCTAGTATTTTGTGGACTACATTACTTTAGAGTTACAGTTTTATTGTTTAGTGGGGAATAACTTGGGTACCCTTCTGATTTTGAATCAATCTATTCCTAGTAGTGTAGTAAACTTGAAAGCATAAAACTGTAGGTCCAGCTACTCAAATAAAAAAATTTCTTTTGAATTGGGATGGAAGTTGAATGCTGCTTAGTTAGAATTGCATCCAGGAGCAAAGCCCAAGTGGGCTGTTTCCCTTGAAGGCCAGGACTTCACACTTCTGGAGAAGAAAAGTGGCTGTGCTGGGAAGGGGCAGTTTTCAGCTGCGTGATCTACTCCTAACTGGGTGGATAGTTGTGTGGAATTTAATGCTGTTCTCAACACCCTCCCTATTTTAGCATATGCATTGGGCCTAAGTAATTTAAATGTATGGTAATGTCTGTACTCCCAAAAAGATCCTAAAGTGCTTCACAGACTACTGCATCTATGTACCATACTCAGGGCCGCCGAGAGTGAGTTCGGGCCCCGGTGAAACAATTTTTTCGGGCCCCCCAGCAAGGGCGGACCGGCTAAACAGGGCCGACGGGGTGTGGGGGGAAGCCGGCCCGGAATTTTTTCAGGCCCCCCAGCAAGGGCGGACCGGCTAAACAGGGCTGGCGGGGGGGGGGGGGGGAAGCTGGGCCCAGGGCCCCCTTCCCGACCGCCGGGCCCGGTAATTTGTACCGGCTTTCCCCCTGCCCCTGACCATACTGTCGAAATGGAGCCACCTTTGGGGGGGACAGCAGCAGACAACTAGCTCCCAAAATATTCAAGAGCCAGAGGCCGGGATTTCCCCCCCAGGAGTTGTAGGGAAAACCATTTATTTTCTGCTAAGTACCATAGGCCCCTTAATGTCCATGCAGAACAGACTGGCCCTTGCTTTCTAATTGTTTAACATTTCTTTTCAGATGAAGATGGAAGTCAGTTCTTACATTACCTAGACTCGTTCATCTATGGTCACTGTGTTGCTTTACTCATGGCTACAGTATCGATTCCTTATTTGAGCATAAATTGCAAAACTGAAATTTAATGATAGGCAGAGCCTGCTGCTGTCAGTGTCAGCTAATCAGGATAAGGCCCCAACAGGATATTGACAAAAGTAGTAACCTCAGTAAGAGGCTTTCAGTAATAAATATACAAATAGACCTTTCCCGTATCTGTACATCACAGAATAGGATAGGAAGGGTTGATATTACACCAACAAGCAGGATGCGAAAAAAGTTGTGGTAGGGGCTATGCCTTTCTCCTCCTACCTCCCCACAACAATGGGAACTCTGATGACCACTCCTTATAAAGTTATTATTGCAGTGTGAATTCAGACATCAGTCGAATGACGTTTGGCAATGCCCTGTAGCAATAGAAAAAAATGCAGATTGCACACTGAAACGTTTTCTCAGACTGATTCCATTGCTGCTGTTTTTAAATATTTGGCAACACCAAGTGTGGGCTAGAAGTGCATGTCTTAAAAGCTCTTCTAGGCAGAGGTCTTGTTTTCAGTATATTCTTGCAAAGCACAATATGTATTCACATGCTGTATAAATAGAAAATTAATATGAATAACATTGGCACTCATCCTGTATGGCAGTGTTTCCCAAACTTGGGATGCTGCTTGTGAAAATGTAACCCTTCTGCCCATCTAAGTTGGCAGCAACAAGGGCCGGGTTCTGTGTCTAGGGGTTCCATTTCAATAACACAATGCAAAACCAGCTCGAGCCCCCACCCAGTGACCTGGGACAATTATATACCACCCCCTGGGCGCCTCTAAGAGGCAATACTTCCCCTCTCGCAAGCACGGAGTCTGAGTGTAGCAGAAAATGTTTAATAACATGAGGGAAACGACATCAGCATTAAATTGGAAAAACACCACAAACACGATTCATAACACAAACCATGAGCAAAAGACCCACCCCAGCAAATTGGGCTGTGTCCTTTCCCTTTGGTTCTTGAATCCAGCAACCCAAAAATTACCCTGAGTCGCCAAAGTCCAACACCCCCAAAGTCTCTTGGGTCCAGCAACCACCGAAAGTCCAACAACCCCCAAAGTCTCTGTCCCTGGTCAGTGCAGCCCCAGAGTAAAAGGGGGGCACGCAAAGTGTTAAGGGGCATCTTACGTGATCCGGGGCCGGCCGGCCTTCTCTCCATGGGGTTTCGCCGCAGCCTTCACCACAAGCCAGTCCACTTCCTGCCGTCCCACGAACTGCTCTGCTCTACGAGCCGCTCCAGCTGTCTCCGCAAATAGCTCCGCTCACCGACCTGTGAGCCGCTCCAGCCATCCCCGCAAA